CTACATAAACGCACACACGCACAAATGCACGCATGCGCACACACATATATATTAGTAGTTTTTCCCTCCAAAATTTTTTAAAATAACATATGGCCTCTAAAAATCTTGTATGAATATGTATAACCCTGTAAAAGTATTTGTACAACTTCATATATATACCGTATGTATTATAATATTCACTCTTCCAACATATAACCCCACAAATTTTATGTAAAATACATATAACCTCCCTAAAAATATATATATAAATTAACACATGTACTGTACATATTTATTCTCTATTTTTAAAAAAATACATGTAAATTAATATTATAGAAAATTAAATTTAAGTAATATAAAGTTAAGATATTAATAAATATAAATATACTAACTTAAGAATAATTAAATAAAAAACATACATATTTACATCAACCGTTAAATCAATATGAAATGCAAGCTTAATTTACTATTTAAGATTTTCATACAAAATTTTAAAATTAAAAAATATAGTTAAATTTACCATACCACAAGGCGAAGCACCCACATTCATTTTCAACAAGTGTTATTATTTCACCCCCTCCCCCTGCTAAACTTCTGATTCCACCACCGCTCACAGTTATAATCCAGTTAGTTGGAATAAAATTTATTATACTCCCAAGAATTCAGAGGAACGGGGCATCAAGTTGATGCAAACTAGTATGATAAATCCTCACTCCTGTACCTACAAAATTCACAGTTTATTCAAGCTTTGCCCAGGAGTTCTGACTCTTTCCTCTGGAAAGGTACTCTTAAATCCAAAAACCTCTTACAGGGGCTTGGAAGTTAGTAGGAAACAGAATAACAATCAATATCTGGATGGATCCACAGTTTTCCCAACTTCCAGGTCATAAACCCTCCCATTGTAGTGTCTCTGGTTTCACCACTGTAACCCAGCTCATTAATAATAGAACAGGAAACTGGGAGATGTCTAACTTACAAACTCTATTTGCACCAGAAATTAGCCAACAATCACAAATATCAGACTTTTGAAACCCAGTTCCTCAAGATAAATGGGCATAAACTTCAGAACCTAAAGGGAAGTTCTTGGTGGAGTGCTTACCTAGCCAGTCTCGGCCGTGATAATATCTCCCAAAAGTCCAGCTAGCTTCTCTTTTTGGAAATCCCTGTGGAGTACAAAACTATAGGAAACACAGAAGCTTATTCGACACAGATTTCTAAACAAAAGTCTTCCTGGTATTGCAAATTCCTTATCAGGCTTTTATCTCTGTGGTAATGGAACTGAATCTCACTGGCATCTGTTATTCCAATGTGATCTTGCTCGATTATTTTGGTTCAATTCAAGATGGGGCTTAAAGTTTGAAGCTTTCAGTCTGAATAACATTTATGAATAGATTGAGTTCCTGCTCAAAAACAGAGGGATAAATCCCCAATTGGTCAGATATGAAAGGAAATTTTATTCTATGCAAACTTCATGGCAGGTCTTATTTGGTGCTGGAGAAGATAACGCATCAGACTGTACCTTCTCCTTTAAGATGCATCGAAATCCTCACCTAGTTCTTAAAAAAGCTGCTCCGATTCTTCTTCAAGATGACCTGCAGAATTGGAAACATTGTTCTTTTATATTTGAAAAAAAAAAAAAAAAAGCTTTGATGAGGAATTATCTGATATCTTTCATAGTGACGCTGCGCTAAGAGATAAAGTAGCTCACGTTGCAGTTGTCAAATTGTCTTCAAGCAATTATCCAACAGAAGCCTGGGCCAAAAAAACAAACTTCTCCAATCTCCGGATATCGGAAGCAGAGGCAATCTTTTTAAGCTCACTCAACCAGATAGGTTGATCGAGGGGATTGTGGCTGGAAAGAAATTAAGCCCGCTCAGCTCTATAACAGGTATTATTAGTTCATCGATTTATAAACAACCATTAGAAGACAGAAAAGAAAAGTCAAAATTCTTTGGTATTTTAGGTTTTCTAGATCCTGACATAAACACAAAGAAATTCTACAAAAACCAAGCTAAAAACAGCAAATTCATCGTAGTAAGTAAAACTAAGAATTAATTGTTTTAAATATATATCAAGTAACTGCATATCAACAATAAGAAGAACAATCCAAACTTCGGTAAGCGAATTCAATACTGACCTTATTATCAGCGAAAATCGTGAATTGAAAACGTCCTGATCAGAGAAAGATTTAAGATGAATGAAGATCAAACCTAGGGTTAGGTCTAGAATAAAAAAACTGAAAACGTAAAGGTGATTAATGGAACAAAAGAGGTAAGAAAGGTAAGGAAATTCCAGGGGAAGAGAGGTGCAGATAGATAGACATAGAGGGGTTAAGGTAACGTAACGTAAGTGAAAGGGAAAGGTATATCACGGACCAATAAGGTACGGACTTATGGGCAGTGCGGTGCCTTTATGGACCAACTGAGCCCATTTTCAATGAGCCCAACTGACCTCGGCTAGGTAGTTAGTGGGTCTTGGATTGGCTTTATTCATATCAGTCTCTTCGTTATTAATTTCTCTATTTAAACTTAGGTACTAATTTATTACGTATATTAATTATATATATTTAATTTTTTTATTAAATTCACCCTCAATAATATGTCAAGATTTACATGTGATTTAGATCGTATTACAAATTTTGTAAAAAATATCATATCAATCTATATATTAGTTAATTTTTTATATTGAAGTTTTTATATTAAATTTTAGTCTATTTTAACTTATATTTTAAATTTTTACTGAATTTACACTTAACATTATATGAGTTTTTAATATTGAATTATATCGCTTTACCTTTTTTTTTACATGAGCTAATCTAAATTAATAAATATTATTTTAACGTTTATTTTTTCTCTGCTTGTTCATTAACGAATTCTTTTAATTGTTTCGAATAGTAATGGATAAGGAGATAACGAGAAGATCACATTGTTCTAATTTACGTAATTAAATTTTTTATTTTTCATTTTCAAAGTTTTAATCTTTAATTGGTTTATCCATAAAAGTTAATTATAATGACATAAATGAGGGGATTGTAATCATATGTTTAGTTACACAACTACAAAATATTAAATAGGTAGTGGCTATCGGATATTAGACAGATTTTCTCTTGGGAGCAAAATATTTCCTTGGATAAGAGAGTGATTTTTTTTTTTTTTTTCTTGTATAACTTTTAAATATAATTATGTTTTTCTAAATTAGAATATTATAATTTTTTCTAAGAAATATATTTACTTTGAATAAAAGATACTACAATAAATAATTTTATTATTTTTTCTGTTTAAAATTTGAGAAAGTTATGAAGTCGGACCCTGAGCCCAGGAAGTTGGTGCATAGTATTTGAAACTAATTGGGTTCCGCAAATGTGTCTGTATGCTTAAAAGTTCAAAGGCGATCATTATAATTTAATTAATGTTTTAAAAAGATTATTTTATTTTTATCAGTACCCTTGAACAAAATTGTAAAAAAAAACATTTAAAAAAAAATAACTAACATAACATACATTAATGTCAAATTTGTTTATAAAAGCATAAAATTTATATTCTGATAATTTTTAGGCATTTTAAGAAGGAGAAGAGAAGGAGAAAGAGGCGTCTTTAAGAAAGAATGAAGAAAAAAATAAGAGGGAGGTATGGTCTTGGTAACATCCCTGCGGTTGTTGGCAGCAAGATCCCAACCATTTTCCTGCCAAGTAGTTTTAGCGACTGTTCTAATACCTTCATTACAACATCTGTTGTTAATTTTTGTCCATTTTTCTTTTTCCAAATTTTCTCCCACCCAACATTTTTAGTGACGGCCATTGCCATTTTTAAAATAAATTTTCCAACCTAATGCTTTTAACAACATAATCCAAAGCTATTGGTAAAATTGTCAATAATTCTC